CTTCGCAATGTCAGGGTGGCTGACGGAGCGATAGATCTCTATGTCCTTGGGCTCTGGACTACCCAGGTCGATGCCACCAGAGAGGGACTTGATGCCTGGCGGCGACTGCTGGCTGACTGAAAATCCAGTCTCGGTGCTGAGGAGTCCAAAATCAATGGGACCCCTGGGAGAAAGAAAGCGACGAAAGCCTCCTGTTCCTACCTTTCCTGATCATCCAGCTCCTCTTCTGAACCTACTCACGCTGATCAGGCTGACCCCTGAACCCTTCCTGAGCTACATCTGTGCTCTGGGTCGGCTTACCGTGCGGGGGCGTGGGATCGACCACTTCATTGGACAAGCGCCGTCTCGAAATCGATGTTGATCAAGGTCCCAATCCCAATCTCTTGTCTTATCTGGCGCCCACAGGGGGACTGTAAACTCGAATCGCGAACGCACCGATCGGATCTAGAGGGCATCGAAAAGTAGCACGAGTTTCGAGGGTTGCCACGAGACTTCAAGACACCACATGTTCTCCCTGAGCAAAAGGACCAACAAAGCTTAGCCAATGCATTAGATAGAGGGCAACAAATCCTCCCCGATAGTAACCACCCAGACACGCGAAGCCGTTTAGTAAACGCGCCCAAAGAAGGAATCAAACAAGGCAGGGCTGTTTAGTAAACGCCCAAGGCCATTTAGTAAACGCCGATTGTCGGGTCCGGGTGGTGGTTCCCTCCCTTGATTAAAACTGTGTCAATGCCATGCTGCGCATGCCGTGCCGACGCCATGCTGCGCGCGTCGTGCCGACATCGCATACTGTCGTCCGCCATCTTCCCCGCCGCGCCCTTCGCGCCTCCCTCCTCTGAGCATCGCTTAACCTATCCCCATCCACACCAGCGTGGGCTGGGCCCCATTGGCCGATTTACCCCCCTGATGGGGATGTCGGCTGTTCTCTTCGGGTTTCGAGGGGAAGATCCAAAATGAGGTGGTGAGACGGCGGGGCTCCAGATGTGATTGGGGATGGGGATAGGGATCGCTTAAACGACACTGATCCTCCTACTTCCCCTTCCCGTCCTGCTCGGGGCGTGGCCCAGCACGTCAAGCCTCCGATCCTGGAGCCATGCCGCGCATGCCGCGTGGCGCTTGCCGTAGCGTGCGTGCCGCAGTATGGCCCTCCTCCTCCTCCTCCTCCTCCTCCTCCTCCTCCTCCTCCTCCTCCTCCTCCGCCTCCTGCTCATCCTCAAAGTCCTCCTCCTCCTCCTCCTCCTCCTCCTCCTCCTCCCCCTCATCATCCTCAACCTCCTCCTCCTCCTCATCATCCTCATCCTCCTCCCCCTCCTCCTCCTCGTCATCACCATCATCCTCATCATCATCACCATCATCACCATCAGCATCAGCACCATCATCATCACCACCATCATCAGCATCATCATCAGCATCATCATCATCACCACCACCACCAACATCATCATCACCAAAACCATCATCATCAGCATCATCATCAACATCATCAGGATCATCATCATCATTATCAACAGCAGCATCAGCAGCAGTATCATAATCATCATACATGGTATCAGCATCATCATCCGCAGCATCATCACCATCATCGTCATCGTCATCATCATCGTTGCCACCGTTGTCATCAGCATCCTCATCACCGTCACCATCATCACCATCCTCATAAACAGCGTCATCACCAGCAGCATCATCGTCATCATCATCAGCATCCTCATCAACGTCATCATCGCCATCATTATCATCAGTGTCGTCGTCGGAATCGTCATCGTCGTCATCGTGACCGTCACCGTCGTCATCGTCATCGTCAACGTCATCGTCATCGCAGTCGATGTCAGCAGATTCATTATCGTCGTCGCCATCGCTATCATCAGAGTGAGGGGGCCGAACGGTCATTCACTGTCCCTGGGTGCGTGGCTGAAGTGGGATTCCGCGGTGCGGATTATCGTTGTTGTTTGTTGTTGTTTGTTGTTTGTTGTCGTCGTCCCACCCGCAACCCGCCCCGCGACCCACCCGCGACCCACCCCGCGACCCACCCCGCGACCCACCCGCGACCCACCCGCGACCCACCCGCGACCCACCCGCGACGACCCACCCCGCGACCCACCCCGCGACCCACCCCGCGACCCACCCGCGACCCACCCGCGACCCACCCGCGACCCACGACCCACCCCGCGACCCACCCGCGACCCACCCGCGACCCACCCGCGACCCACCCCGCGACCCACCCGCGACCCACCCGCGACCCACCCGCGACCCACCCGCGACCCACCCGCGACCCACCCGCGACCCACCCCGCGACCCACCCGCGACCCACCTTCGACCCAAACCACGTTCAGGTACAAACCACCATTTTCGGCGCCTGCGGCGGGCTTTTTTTGCATTCCTTCCAGGTGGAGAGCCCGCGACCCACCCCGCGACCAACTCGCGACCAACCCGCGACCCAAACCACGTTCACGGTACAAACCACATTTTTCGGCGCCTGCGGCGGGCATCTTTTGCATTCGTTTCATGGAGAGCCCGCGGCCCACCCGCGACCACGTTCAGGATACCAACCTAATTGTTCGGCGCCTGCGGCGGGCATCTTTTGCATCCGCTCCCGGTGGAGAACCCGCGGCCCACCCGCGACCCATTCCACGTTCAGTGTACAGACCAAGTGTTTCGCCTCCTGCGGCGGGCTGCTTTTGCATTCCTTCCAGGTGGAGGTGGAGAGCCCGCGACCCAAACCACGTTCACTGAACAAACCAATGCCGCACAAGCGCGGCGGCGGATTTTTGCATGCCGTCTGAGCCCGCAACGACCTCTCCGAGCCCCGCGCATCCACACCAGCCCGTCCAGCAATTTTGCCCTGGCGAGTTGCCTTGATCAGAGAAGTCGGGGACCATAAAGTGGAACGGAAAGGATTGCGTTGCCGTGATCTTGGGAAAAGAGGGGGAGGCAGGAGGAGTAAAAAGGGGACGAGGGGGACGCGAAAGAAAAGAGGATGTAAGGAGAATGTGGAGAAAGAGGAGGTGGAGAAGGAGGAGGAGGAGCAGGAGCAGGAGGAGCAGGAGGACGAGGAGGGGGAGGAGGGGGAGGAGGAGGACGAGGAGGGGGAGGAGGGGGAGGATGATGATGATGATGATGACGACAATGGGAGGACGATGATGGAGGCCGATGAGGGGGAGGACGACAATGGGAGGACGATGATGGAAAGGACGAGGGGGGGAGAGGGAGGACGAGGAAGAAGAGGAGGAGGAGGACGAGGTGGAGGAGGAGGATGACGATGACGATGAGGACGAGGACGAGGAAGAGGAGGAGAGGAGGAGGAGGAGGAGCAGGAGGAGGAGGCGGAGAAAAGCGCCATCGACAAGGAAGGTAGGGGCCACGAGGTCCGCCGGCTCGACGACGCCCGCGTCGCCCGCGCCCGCCCCCTCACTCTTATCCGCGATTGCGGGGTGCTACGTCATAAACGTCATCCTAGATCAGAATCATCGAACCTAATCGTCCTCCACACTTGCCTCACTCATCAGCCTCTCCCTCCTCCTCCTCCTCCTCATCCTCCTCCTCCTCCTCCTCCTCCTCCTCATCCTCCTCCACCTCCTCCTCCTCCTCCTCCTCCTCCCGTCACTGTTCCTCCTCCTCCCTCCTCCTCCTCCTCCTCCTCCTCCTCCTCCTCATCATCATCATCATCATCATCATCATCATCATCATCATCATCATCATCATCATCATCATCATCATCATCACCATCATCATCATCATCATCATCATCATCATCATCATCATCATCATCATCATCATCATCTCAGCGTCATCATCATCATCATCATCATCATCATCATCATCATCATCATCATCATCATCATCATCATCATCATCACCATCACCATCACCATCACCATCACCATCATCATCATCATCATCATCATCATCATCATCATCAGCAGCATCATCATCCAATGTTCCTTTCCCGTCCCCCGTCTTCCTCCTCCTCCTCCACCTGCTACTCCTCAACCTCCACGTCCTCCTCCTCCTACTCCTCCTCCTCCCCATCCTCATCCTCATCCTCATCATCATCATCATCATCAAAACCATCATCAGCATCATCAGCATCATCATCATCATCATCATCATCATCATCATCATCATCATCATCATCATCATCGTCTTCGTCATCATCATCACCACCGTCATCGACGCCACCACCACCACCACCACCATCATCATCAGCAGCAGCAGCATCCTCATCCTCATCATCAGCAGCAGCATCAGCATCATCTGCATCCTCATCCTAATCATCAGCATCATCAGCATCATCAGCATCAGCATCAGCATCAGCAGCATCAGCAGCATCATCTGCAACATCAGTATCATCATCAGCATTCTCGTCATCGTCTTCAGCATCAGCATCATCATCAGCATCAGCAGCATCAGCATCAGCATCATCATCAGCATCAGCATAAGCAATATCATCAGCATCATCAACAGCATCATCATCGTTATTCTCAGCAGCATCATCAGCAGCATCAACATCAGCATCAGTATCATATCATCCGCAGCATCATCAGCAGCAGCATCATCCTCATCATCAGCATCAGCATCATCCTCATCATCAGCATCAGCATCGTCGTCGTCATCATCATCATCATCATCATCATCATCATCATCATCATCATCCTCATCCTCATCCTCATCCTCATCCTCATCATCATCATCATCATCATCATCATCATCATCATCATCATCATCATCATCATCATCATCATCATCATCATCATCATCATCATCATCATCATCACATCATCATCATCATCATCATCATCATCATCATCATCATCATCATCATCATCATCATCATCATCATTCATCATCATCTCCTTCCTCCATCCACCCTTTTGGAGTATGGTTCGGAATCCGGCTGGCCTTCTGAGAGCTCGGTCGTGAAGCGGTCCAGGCTGGAGCGGAACTCCGTCGCCTGCAACAGGGCCGAAGGCGAGGTGCGGAGAAGCACCAGCAGCAGCAACAACAGAGGTAAGAGGAGGGAGGGGGGAGGGGAGGGGGGGAGGCGGAAGGGACATGCGAAAAACGAGGGGGGGTCCAAGAAGCCGTCTCGGACATCTGGACTGCTAGACTGACCGATAGACGACTGGCGCCTCCCAGGGCACACGGTGAACACCTCCTCGGCAGAGCCCGCAAGGCCAAGGCAGGAGCAGAGCAGAGGCAAGACAGGGGGCCAGAGGGTGGACGGGGGGAGGGGTGAGGGGGGACGGGGGACGAGGGGGGGGGAGGGTGGACGGAGGCGGGAGGGGCGGAGCGAGAGGGGGGTCGGGGGGACGGAGAAAGACGAGGAGGGACGGAAAAGGCAAATCCGGCAGCCGGACAGGAGATCGAGGCGGCGGCGGCAGGAGCCCCAGAGGCGTGGGAGGCAGGGGGCGTGCTGCAGGAGCCCCCGTCTGAGCATCACTGGCGTGGCCTGGGCCCCACTGGCCGACTTACCCCTCCAGGTGGGGATCGAGGCTGTGCCCCTCGAGCTTCGAGGAGCCCATCCCCAGCCGGGGTGGTGGCGTGGTGGGGCCGAGACACCGTGGCCCGGTGGGACGGGGACGGGCCAGACGAGGCTGACAACGCTCTGCTCGCACAACCCCCCCCGTCCCAGGCAAGGCGAGCCAGAGCTCCCAAGGGGGGGCGATTGGAACGGAGCCCGAGATCTGGCGGGCGACTGCCGCGCTTCGCGCTGCGCGAAGCGCGAAGCACGAATAGCTTCGCGCTCTCGCGCCGCCCGCCAGGGGCGAAGAGGAGGATGGGGAGGAATCGGAGACGAAGCGCGAAGCGCGAAGCGCGAATGGCTTCGCGCCCTCGAGGGCGCCCTTGCAAAAACTGCATAGGGATGCAGTTTCGAAGGTCCGCACGGATTTCTTGCATCCGCGCTGGGCCCCCCTCCCTGGCGCGGGCGCCGCAAAAAGGGCGCCGGAGGCGCAGATCCAAGAGACCCGCACGGACCTCAGAGAGTTATCGGTTGCTATTTCGGGGGCGACGATGGAGGCGACGACTTCGGGGAGAGCAATGCATGCATCCAGTGGCGCCGATGGTCCATGCCTTCGGCGAGGCTCCCCGGCGAAGACGTGCAATGCCCCGCTATGGTGCAGCACCAAGCCGACATGGGCGAGGGGGAGCACAAGAACACGCCCGCTGATGCCACAGGTGAAGCTCCTCCTCCTCCTCCTCCTCCTCCTCCTCCTCCTCCTCCTCCTCCTCCTCCTCCTCCTCCTCCTCCTGATGCCGCAGGCGAAGCACCCTGCGGGGCACGATCTGCCTGAAGGGGTGCGCCGAGAGGGGCGAGGGGGGCCCAGGCGCGCGGGCCCACTGAGGCCGCCGAGGGGTTCTCCTGTGGGGCAGACTCCGTCTGAGGGGTGATCCGAAGTGGGCGAGGGGTCGCCTCCACTTGTTTTATGTTGGGCATGTCCTCCTACAGGCGGATTGTGAAGAAAAAATTGTTAACAAAAATCCCCCCCCCAAAAAAAAATCCTCCTGCAGAGGGACGTGCCCGACTTAACGGCAGGAGCGCGCTGCCCTCCCCGTGCCTCGCGCCGGCGCCGGGTGCCCGACTCCGAGCGCTGGAGCGGCACCCCCCCCGCGCGCGCGCGCGGCGCCGTGCGCGCCCGCCCGCCCGCCCGCAGGCGCCGCGGCTTCGAGAGGAGCGGTCGCGAGACTGCGAGGAGCTCTCTACTCCGAGGCAGCACAGAGCGGCACGAACAGACATTTTCGCACGGTCTCTGGGATCGGCGCTGGACCTTGCCTTGACCATTCTTGCGCCCAGTATGTTGCACCGGGCTGTTGTGCACTGCATCTTTGCTGCCGCTCTGGTGCCCCCCCCCCCCGGGGCGGCTCAGGTTTATGCCGTTTCTTGTTCCTCGACTGCTGGGAGCACCTCGGTGCGGGGCTCCGGCTGCTGAGACGCCGCGCGAGCTTCCCTCTCGGAGAGGAGAATCCCAAAAAGAGAACGTGTGCATTCCGCAGACATGGAGGTTGACAGGGCTGAAAGACACAGTCTAGGGGTGGCACGAGCCCGAATCAATCGAGATGCAGACTGGCCGAACACGCATAGGGGAGCAAGAATATACCGATACAGCTACTCCCCGAAATTATCCCCGGATACGTTCTGACCAGGGTTCTGAGGCAAATTCAGCCATAGCGACGAGGGCTTCCCAGGAACAGGAAGGTGGGAAGAGCATCGATATCGGTATGTCTTTCTCCTCTGAGGGAAATGAAAGACTGGACCAGCCGCTCCATCCAGCCTCTCTGCATTACGCACCCCTCTCCGCGCCTGCGCGCTGCGCTGGCCCGCGCGGCCCGTCACGGCAAATGGCGGGGCAGCGCTCCGTCTGTGCGGACGGATCAAGGGATATAGAAATCGTGCAAGTCAACAGGGGGAGTCCGAGGTTCGAGCCGACACGGAGCTTGATTCAGAACGGATCCAGAATCTCGTGCTACTCCTGCTCCCATTCTTCCTCCCACTCCTGCACATCCCGCCACTCAGCAACCTGATCCTCGTCCTCTTCATTAGTGTTGCTAAATTCGCTGTTGTCGCTGGCTGCGGCAACAACTACTATTACCGCTGCGATGCTGGTTCTCCGCGTCCTGTGCTCAGCAAGCGCGGGGGGCTCGCAGACCTGCTCAGAGTCGCAGCTAGCCCAATCGATGCTCCCCGGGTGAGTGACGAGCGGGCGGAAGACGTCCATGAGCCTTCCCTGTCCCCCTTTCCCCCTCACCACAATCGTCCTCCTCCTCATCAGATCCGTAATCCTATCGCAGCTCATCCCGCACCTCCCCCTCGTCCTCCTCCACGTCCTCGTCCTCGTCCTCCTCCTCCTCCTCCTCCTCCTCCCCCTCCTCATCCTCCTCCTACTCCTCCACCTCCTCCTCATCATCAGCAGCAGCAGTTTCTTCTTATTACTACGATTAGTATGATGCATATCTTTATTATTCTTATTACTAGTATTATTAGCATTTACATGACTAGTATTCACCATAGTAGTAGCATCGTTAGTGTTATTATTAATGGTGTTATTACAATTGTTTTCCTCTGGTGAAAATTCAGGTTATTAGTATTAGTCTTATTCGTAGTATTACCATTAATGTTATTATGTTTGGTATTGTTAGTACGAGTATTCTTCATGTTAGTAGTACGACTATTATCATGTCTAATATGCTTAATAGTGCGATTCATATTAGTAGTACGAGTATTAGCAGTATTACTGGTCGTCGTGATAGTATACATATTATAATCAGTATTGGTATTAGTCTTACGATTGGTAGTAACATTCGTCTGCTTCGTATTATTAGTATTCGTATGATTTCTCTTGTTTCTCTTATGATTAGTACTCGTCCGTCTGATTATTATCATTGCTTTCCTTCTCCTTAGCATTACTGTCATTAGTATCTGTATTGTTCTCATTCATCGTATGATTGTTCTCCTTCATGATCGACATCGTCATCGTCATCATCGTTTTCATCCTCGTCATCCATATCGTCATCGTCCTCGTCCTCATCATCATCCTGGCCATCATCATTATGATCATCAGCAGCAGCAGCAGGCAGCAGGTGCCGTAGGCGTAGCTGTCAGAGCCGCGAGAGTCATGAGCGCATGCGCCGCAGCCGTATGCATTACTGCCGTAGCCGACAGTGCTGTTGTCGTTGGCGCCAGAGTCCCAGGGGACGCAGGTGCGGTAGCCAAAGCCGCGGGCACCGCCGCGCTGAGGCGCCGGACCCGAAAGAGTCGCATGTACCTGGATTTATCTGGCTCGATCCCCACAAGTCGATTGGCGAAGGGTCGACAAGCCCTCAGGGAGAGGAAGGATCACGAGCCGCGAACATGTCCGTATCCGTGCCCTCGCGGTCGGGGCGCGACCCCGCGGAGACGCGGTCGCACGGGCACGCTCCGCGCGGGCCATCCACGAGAAGGCATCCCGTATCCGCGGGGTCGCGGCCCGAGGGCCAGGCCCGCGAGGCCGCGGAGATGGACATGTCTGTGGCCCACGAGGGAAGGAGGCAGCAAGCAGGAGGCGAGTCGGAGAGGGGGGGGAGGAGCCAACGAGGGAGGCTACCTGTGAGACCGCTCGCTGCGCCGACCCTGCAGACGTGCTGCAGCGGATTTTTGCGTGGGTTTCTGCCAGAGCAAAACCCCGAAACGGCTAGAGAAGAACAAAGTGAATTTCACGTGGATTTGTTGTAGGTCCTGGCCGCAAAAAATCCGCACGAAATTCGCTTCGAAATCCGGAGCGAAATTCTCCAAGACAATCCATGCCCATCCCAATGTTTTCTGAACGAAATCCACTCTTCGATGTTGGCGCCATGATGCGACCGCGCGTTCTCTCGAACGCACGAAGAACTGGTCGCGCCCGCGGCAAAGACCCTCGCAAGCCTGCGCCCGCCGATCTTCCAACGCATCCGTATATCCTACCGCGTGCCCCCACTCACTGCTTCGAGGACGAAGGGGAGGACGAGGGCGAGGATGGGGAGCGGGAGGGGGAGCGGGAATCGGGGAAAGAAGAATGACATATACATAACTCGGAGGTCCGCGCGGATTTCGTGGATCCGCGCTGGGACCCCCTTGGCGGCGCCTCCGGCGCCGCCCCTGGCGCGCTGCGCGCGCCGGGAAGGGGGGTCCAGCGCGGATCCGAGAAATCCGCGCGGACCTCCGAGTTTTTATGTTTATGTCATCCTTCGATCCCATAGGTGTACGTCATGCTTATTATGTCCCAGTTTTTTTATGATTATTGAATTCCTTCGTTCCCCTGGGCGTATCCTTCGTTCCAAGTTTTTCATGTTTATGCCAAGTAGGGGCGGCGGGAGGGGGTGGGATGATGCGACGCGGGGCCCTGCGCTGACGCGTGCTCCCGAGGCGGCGGGCGGCCCACGGCGAGTGGCGCGGAGGGAGGGGGAGCCGAGCTGTTTTTGGCAGGGAGGGGCAGGGAGGAGTTGCAGGAGGAGGAGGAGGAGTCATCCTCCTCCTCCTCCTCCTCCTCCTCCTCCTCCTCCTCCTCCTCTTCTTCGTATCATTTTCTTGTTATCATTATTTTGCATATGAAAATTCTGATTATCCTTCTTAGCATTATTCTTCTTCGTTTTCTTCTTATTAGTATGATTATGATTCTTACTCCTCCTCCTCCTCGAGGAGGAGGAGGAAGAGGAGGAGGAGGAGGAGGAGGAGGAGGAGGAGGAGCATCGGGGCCCGAGAGGGGGCCGCCGACCTGCCCGGCCCCGCCCGGTGTTCAGGCTCTCCAGGGGCGACGCCGCCATCTCGCCGAAGAGGAGCTCTCCTGCCCAGCGCCCATGGCAAGCCCGCCTCGCGCCTTGCTGTATGGGCCCCTTTGTCGGCGATGAGTGGGCGATTGGGGACCCCATATCGGCGATGAGTGGGCGATTGGGGACCGATGCGCCCCGCCCCAGGAGCCTATCCCTCCCCTGACATTGCCCCTGACTGCCCCCCCCCCATCGTCCCTACCCCCCGAGGCAGCTCTCCTCCTCGACCGTACCCATGGAGGGCAGAAGAACCACCCTCAGAGCAGGCACCACGACCAGCGAAGCCGCTTAGTAGTGGGCGCACCCAAGGGAGGAATCGCACAGGGCAGGGCTGTTCTGCAAACGCATAGGATTTTTCAGTCAACGCCATTTTCTCTCGCGAACCCATGCCCCAGGCACCGAAGCGCGCTGCTGTAGCGCACCTGACAACGTTACACGTTGTACGACCTCCTGCCCCCAGCCTCAAGGAGCAGGCCACCGTATGCGTCGCCTGGGGCATGTTTGCGCACGTTGCGGACTCTTATCGCCCGCCGTGGTCGCGGAATTACCTAAGCATTGCCAGCAGTGTACAGGTTGCAATACATGCGGACGGGGCGACACTCGAAGATGGGCACGCGTGTCGCAATGCCGCTGCCCATGACCGCGATTCGCCGAACTCCGTTTATCTTAAGGTCCGCGAAAACCTAATGCAATCTCCCACGCGTATCGCGCAATGCCGTGCTTGAAAGCAAGAGATGATGGTGGATCTGGTATAATATGAAGAAATATTCATCGACCACCGCTCTTGAAGCAAAAAGGTGTCCCCGTTGCGTGGCCGAGTAGTTAGGCAGCAGCCGCCGCCTGCAATGTTCGGTCACGCACTCTACAGCTTGAAACGTCCTGGCAAATGCCCTCGATTGGTGTGTTCCAAATTTTCAAATGCCTGCGTCAACAACCGTCCGGGCATGTTTCCCCCAAGTTGTCGCAACAAATTGTTCTGACACACCTGCAATGCACGCTCCGGGGTTCTACGCCTGCATCAGCCTACAATTCGCTAGCTGTCGCACTACGCCCTTGATTCCACGAGCAGTGTTTGCACGAAAGACGTCCTACCTTCGTTCAAATGAGCTGGATCTGAATACCATGCATGCTGCCGCCGTTGCCGCCGTGGGGCCTTCGGCACTGCGCATGTCTCGCGCTCTCCAGCGGCCCAGATTGCCGCTCGTCGCCGACCTTGCCGCCGCCTCCGTCGCGCACGGCCCCGTGGATTCCCCACACCTCGTGCACCCCATGGCCCTCGCTGCCGCAGGTCGCCACCGCAGCCGCCACGCGGGGCCCTGGGCAGCCTCCACACCCTAGGGCCCCCCACTGGACTTCACTGCCGCGTTTTTTTTGCCGCCGCCGCCGCACGCGGGGCCAAGTCGGCGCTTCCCACGCTTTTGGCGACCCCCGCTGGCCCTGACTGCCGCACGTCGTCGCCGTCGCCGCCGCCGCGGGGGCCCGAAGCACTCCCCACAAGTCATTTCGCGCCCTCCAGTGGCCCTGCGCACTCTTGCACACACTGACTGCACCCGCACAGGTTGCACCCCCGTACTTTGCGCAGGCTGCCCCGTCTGAGTTCCACGCGCCGGTATTATGGTGCCCCCGCGCGTTTCTATGTGATGTTTAGTCGTCCCAGGGCGTCTGCGAATGATCCTCGACGAGGTCCTGAATCCAAGAATTCTCTCCAAGAGTTCTCCCTTGGCTCATGCCCTGCCCCTTGCCGAGCCGCTTCCCCCTAACCCCCGGCAACGCGCTCTTCCCACGCCACGCGCCGGCCCTCCCCCTTTCTTCCCCACGACGTTCGCATATGCACATGTATATGCATAGATGTGTATATATATATATATATATATATATAGGAGGTTGTGGGGGTGAGATCGAAGTGGAACGGAGAGCCCCCCACCGGGAAAACGGTTTCGGTTTCGTGTTCGTGTCGTGCGCGCGGGCGAGGCGAAGCTGCGTGCGCGGGCGAGAGGAACTCATTCTGCTGTCGCTAGTGCTTCGCCAACATAAATGTTTCCCCCGCCGGCGCGTGTCAAGCGGTGGCCAGCATTGTCCCGTCGGTTGCCCGCCGTTGTCCTGTCTGTCGCTAGTGGTTCGCCAACATAAATGCTTCCCCCGCCCGCGCGTGTCAAGCGGTGGCCCGCATTGTCCCGTCGGTTGCCCGCCGTTGTCCTGTCTGTCGCTAGTGGTTCGCCAAC